CATTTCTCACTTTAATAATACTTTAATCAAATTCTGATTTTTAGAACTTTTAAATATACTTAAAGTCCATATTTTCAAATTCTTGATATTTGTATTACTATTTAAAGAATGTAAAGAATGTTCTGTGGCGTTATAAACTTCTATTTTTCAATATATTATTTACTGTAAATTATTTATTCCAAAGACAAAATAAAAGTAAAAATGGGGGGGTTCATATTTGAAAAAACAGATTCTTTTATTATTACAGCATCATCCTTTAGTAGTACCAAAAATATCAAATATTTGAAAATATGGTCTTCAAGTATATTTAAAAATTCCAAAATTATAATTRTAATTCATGTATAATTTAAGAATACRAATATTGTGGGCATACTTAAAAATTGCCCAATATAATAACAAAATGAAACAAAGCAAAGTGTATATGTAATATTTCTTTCATAGCGATTTTGTAATAAATTATTTATATTGTGATTATTATACATTGTTAAGTTTATAATATCCAATCTTAAGTTTAACATTGTTATAAATCAGTTTAAAAAAAATATATGCATTTATGCATTTTCATCTTCCAGAATATTTATTGATAAATTAAACCAACTAAAAGCTCTAACGTATCTTGTTATGGATTATTATGATGTTGTTTAGAATTGATTATGAAATCTGCATTAAATGTTTTGAAAAAAATATTATTTAATACATTTAAAATAAATATAGTTTTAATTTGATAGTCTAAGATTATATCTTGTGTATCTAAAGTATCATATAAAATTACAGTGTATTTATAATTTAATATTTAATGACTAATTACACAAATAATAATTTTGTGTTGGTGAAATGGTAATCAGGTGAAACTACATACATAATCGCACGAATTACGTTGCACATTATCCAATTTTTTTCAAGAGTATTGAAGTACATGTTAAGTAATTTTCTGTTTTTTTTTTATTTTTATGACAGACCGTCTAGGCCGCCGACCATGTCCCTTGTGTCAAAAAGTGATCTCCAACAAGTCTAACTTATTAAAACATATGCGCATTAGGCATAGTGATGAATACAATCCAGCTGGTTGCAGTGTGTGTGGTAAAGTATTTAAGAATAAATATAGTTTACGTGCACACATTAATATCTACCATAAGGAACACTCGACTACTACTAATACGACTAATCAAGGTGCATATCAAGTGTACAACAATAACGCTATTGGTCAACAGCAGCCACAGCCGCCACAACAACAACAACAACAACAACAACAACATCAACATCAACAATCTGTTTCAGTGCAGCCTATCAACAATTCTACTGGTTCTTATCTAACTAGTTCATCGCCGGTTACTTGTTTCAACCAGTCTTCAAATGCTAGTACAGCCAGTGGCTACATTATACAGCAGCCTCCTACATCGCCGTTCCTAAATAAAATCTCACTGGATCTCCCGTCTCCATATCAGTTAACAAATCAGGCTACATCTGGGCCACCTTTATCACCACTTTAACCATTATTTCCACCAGCATCAGCCGGTGAAATTTTTGATGTTGTCGGATGCTCTTCACGCATGACTCATTTGGAGGTTTAAATTTTAACCTCATTTTCGAGATCGGTTACTGACAAATTAATGTGTCATTATTATTATTATTAAATAAATATATATTTAATTATATTTTTTTCTAAAGGGGGGAAGGGCTTGGTTTTGATGTTTGGTTAATTTTTACTGGTTTTAATTCATTATTTTAAAATGTATATTGGTATACCTGAAGTATAATATTTTTATTAATACATTAAATGATATGTAAAAATATATATATAAAGTTTTTAATTTAGAATATATATTATATTGAGTGCCAATAATTATAATGAGTAATGAAAAACGAACAATCAAATTATGTTGTGTAATTGATATTTATTAACAAAGTTTGCTCTTACGAGTATATAGCAAAATCTATAAAAGGCCAAACGAATCTAAGACTGAATAAAAAATGAAACACCCTAATATTATTCGAATAWTACTGATTAATAGTATTTTTAGCTCATAATTATTAAGAATAAATATAAAACRAACTTGTTCTCTGTATAGAGAAAAACCACCTTGTACCTACTCTATAGTATTTCAATTTATACCTACTCTTTAGCAATAAAAAAATGTATTGTAACATAGTCATAATCATAGATGTATCATTTATAAAATTAATATTTACCAAAGATATTATAGAACTGATAAATACCACTAACAATTTTTTTATTGTATTCAGTCTAATACTATGTGTACATCTTGCACATGATTTTGTTTCATGTTTTCTATTTGTAWTAGAAATTGTATACAACGCACAATTTTCTTACTTTTGTTTTGCTACAACAGTCCCTAACATATAATTTATTTACCCTTAATGTTAATATTTAATCTTGTCATGATTTTTCACGGGTCTTTTGTATTATTAATTAGGGTTTTATTTTGTGTAGAATTTAACATTGGTACGATAATTTTTATTTGGTTTATTTCCCTTTTTTCTGMTTTTTATTTTAATTTTATAACTTAGTAAAACATAGTATTTCTTTATTTTTCGGGTTCCAAAGTGTGTATTGACTGATATAGTTTATAGTATTTATTTTAAATTAAATAAGAAGGATGGAAAAATATGTATATTTTTTTTCTAACACGAGTCAACTAATGTTTTTTTTTATGTATACATTAAATATTAATATATATTTTATGTTCATGTATGAGTAATATTAATTATAATGAAATCAAATATATATTTTATTTAGGCTAATTACAGTGTTGTATTTTTTACCATCATTATACCATACACTGCAGCTGGCCTCAAAGAACACTTGAAAGTTCATATTGAAAACAGTTGCAGTGTACTKCTAGATTTTTAGATGTTTATTGATCTATTGATCTAAATTTTGATTTTTAATAAATCTTGTTTTCTGTAAGTTTATTTCAAAAGCTTTGGACTACAATCYGAAAAGTCTATACACGTTTAGCCGGAATTTCAATAAAAAAACGAAGTGTACTTAAGCTATGCATTTTCTCGTTTTAGTGTAATTTTTTTGTAAGATAAAGTTTTTGATACATAAACACGAAAATTGCTTATCTTAAAATTGGGGCTGCTAATGCCCTCCCTAACCTCCCCATCCTATTTGCGCCTAAAAGATGACTCAAAAACAAAAACACAATAAACAAACATACTTTGGTAGGTATAGTTAAAAGATATAAAGCATAAATTAGAGGGAAACTAGTGTATAGTAGTACACTGTATATTATGAGTTACAATAGTATGAGATATTTTTAATATTTAATTGGTAGGTACCTACTTAACTGAGTATGGTACAAAATACTAAAAATTGTTTGCAATGACGAAAAAATGGTTTAGCTTAATATTTTAGGTCGGTATATACGTATAAACTTGTGAAGAACACGTTTTTGAAAGTTAGAACATAAAGAAATATAAAAAAAAAATTATGAACATCAAGAAAAAGTCATTTATTTTAATTTATGCATTTCTTATGGAATTTAATGTAACGTAACAACAGCTAAATTACGTTTAAGCTCATAAAAGGCGCGTTAAAAATAAGCAAATCAAATGAATCTGTCACAGTTGCAAAGTTTTAAAAGGCACATTTATCTCGAACAATTAATATATATTTATGTTCGATGACGAGTTGAGGACGTGATACCCGCATGTGTTGTCTCCGTCTTACAAGCGCGTAACATGAACACGCATAGTTCGTTAGCTTAAAAATTAGAGTGAACTGACCTCTTATAAAATTTAAAAGCAAGATTATTATCTAGACAACCTCATATGCTTTTTATTATATATTCAATTTAAAGCGAGTTATGAGTATTTTAAAATTGTAAATTTTTTGTGTATCTTATAATGCTCATAACTTCCTTTAAAATTTAAATATAATAAAAAGCATATGAGGTTGTCTATATAACGATCATTGGGGGATATCCGGAGGGCTTATCCCCCCCCCTGATAGCCGCAAAGCCCCCTCTAAAATGTTTGCCATATTATATTAAATCTGAAATGACTGTTGCCAGAAATTTTATAAATATAAAATCAACAATGATTTGACTATTGACGATTTGAAAACATCAATAAAAAAAGACATTTTTCCAAATGTCTATAAAATGCTTCAAGTAGCACTTACTTTACCTGTCAGCTCTTCAACTTACGAGCGATCTTTTTCGGCTATAAGAAGAATAAAGACTTGGGTGAGAACTTCCATGTATCAAGAACGTTTTACAAATCTTTCTATTCTACATATAGAGAAAGATGTAACAAAAAATATGGATACTGAATGTATTTAAAATGAATTTTCTAAATCCTCAAGGATGATGGTTTTAAAATAAAACCGTAGCCACCACCCYCATGGCTTTGGTTCATAAGAAAAATCGTAGCCCCCCCAAATTTTTCGATCGATATCCGCCAATGATAACAATCATACCTTTAAATTTTATAAGAGGTCAATTCACTCTAATTTTTAAGCAAACGGAGCTACC